TGATATATCTCTCCCTTTATTTGTCTTCTTTATCTCAGCAATGGTTTGTAGTTTTCAGTGAGCAGATCCTTCGTCAGATTTATCCCCTAAATATTTTATATTTTTGATACAATTATAAATATTTTTAATTTCAATTTCCAATTGTTCATTGCTAATATACAGAAATACAGTTGATTTCTGTATACTGATTTTGCATATATTTGATTTTGATGTTTGAGATTTAATTGCTATCTCCCTAAACTTATTCTGGTTGTTTAATATTAAATTCTAGACTCTCAGGCCAAAATTTTAGGGAGGGGAAAAAAAGAAATATTCACTATAATCAATGTTTGTTACAGCCCAGGATAATTTCTTCAACCGCTTTGCCAGAGACAAAGCTGGCCTGCCCAAAAGGATAGGGACCCAAACCTCAAATAGTCCCTGGTTGCCTTTGGCAAGAGCCCAGACTTAGGCTGGGGGTGTTCTCATAACTCAAGAAGAGGAAGAAAAGGAGGTCTTTTCATGACTTGCTAGGGATCTTTTATCTATGATTTTATTAATTCTTTGCTAACTTCTTTCCTTTTTCAGTCTGTGCTCTTTATCATAATAATACAGTTCCTGTGTTTATTCCCACTCCACCTCCCCCATAAGGCAACCCTTCCTTTTATTTGTCTTAAAACAACCTCTCTCTAGCTCTAGAAATTACATGTGGTTTGAATATTTAGAGAATTTTGCAAACGTCTGTATTTAACTTATCCAAACTCTTAATGTTTTTCTACATCATGAAAGTTTTTGCGTTGAAGTGAAAAGAGCATTGAACTTGGAATCCAGTGGATCCCATCATCTAGTTGTGTGGCCTCTGGCAAGGTATTTAACCCTCCTGAAAATGTCTTCTTATCTTCAAAGTGGAGATGGTAATGGAACATTGTGAGAATTATGCAAAAAATAAATAAGCATTCCGTGAACTTGAGTTGAATCTGAATATCCTGCCTCCTCTTCAGATTGGAGAGCCCTCATCTGCCTGGTTAGCTCTCACAGGCTGCTATCCCCACCCCGCTGAAACTTTGAGGCCTTCCAGTCCAATGAGGCCTTCCAAAGCACAGAGTTCCAGCTGTGGACACAAGAGTTTGGAACCAGAGTAGGATCATTAGTTCAACAAATACTGAATACCTTAGTGTAGGCCAGGAACTGAGTTAGACACTTCACTTATTCATTACAGAAAAAAAAATCATTGAGTACCTACCATGTACGTCACATGAATTATCCCTAACACTCATAATAATTCTGCAAAGTAGGCACTGTAACCCCCACTTTACAGAGGAAAAATAGAGTATGTGGCCCCTATCCTAAAGGCATTCATAAGCCACTTAAAAGCAGTGATCAATAGACCTAAAAAGGTCTATTGAACGCAGACCACACTCTGGGCCTCTCAACTCTTTGGCCTTTACTCTGGGAGAAAGGGGAAGAAGAAGAATAGGGGTAGGGGGTGCTGAAGGGGTGGGAGGGCCAAGAGACCCCCTGGGGTGGGCTGGGCTAGCTCAGAAGTCATGGAGCACTGAGGGAGCCTCCAGAAGAGCTGCCATGTGCCCCTTCACCCCTCGCTGCCCTCACCCAGGACTGCTTTCGCTCCCACCAAAACACCTACCTTTCCTTGATCAATTCCAAACTCCTCCTAGGGGCTGGGAGCTGGGACCCCAGAGCGGAAGAAGGTGTGGGCCCCCTGTTCGCAAAGCACTCACAGTCTAACTGGAAAAATAAGACACAAGAAAAGACAAACAAAGATGCAAGATAGCAACACAATAATGCGGATGAATTTAGAGGAAGGCAGCCAGCTGGCCAAGCAGGCAGGGAAGAGGTGGCAGAATTTGGTTTGTGGTGAGGGGCACGTGGGGAGGGTTTAGTCCTGTGAGCTGAAAGCTTGGAGTCCAGGGGAAGAAATGACCTCTGAGCCCCACTTATGCTACACCTTCACTTCCCCCAATCTCAGTTCAGGCCCAGAGATGGGACACGGCCAGGGGGCTCTGGGGAAGATGATCCAACCAGCTGGCTAGATCAGAGTGTGCTTCCAGGGCCCTTGCCCCTATGGCCATGAATGCCAGGTGGAGCACGGGTTCCATGGGGGTGAGGAGTGGGGACCCGGGGTGCCACTGAGGCCCTTTGAGGAGGAGAGAGTCACAGGAGCAGCCCTGGGACTCAGCAGGCCCACCTGGGAGTGTGCGTGGGGGACAGATGGCAGAAACCGGAGACTGGAGACCAGCTGAGTTTATCACAATTCCCATCAGGCCCACAGCAGACTTAGGCAATGTCATGATGCGGTCACTGGTCCTCCTCTCGGGGGCTTTCTGTCGTGGACTGTGCCACCACTTGTCTTTCCTCAGACTCAAAGAGTCCAGGGTCCAGGCAGGCTGCCTCCTTCACCCCTTGTTCTTAACAGGAAGTCAGCACCCAGGGGTGCCATGGATTTGGAGGGACAGGCTGGGCGTGAGAGATGCAGAGCAGAAGGGATCAGGAGAACAGAGAGCAACGTGCAAGAAGAGGAGGAAGCCCACTGGAGGTTATTCACGGGAAGGGAAGGAACAGCCCAAGCTGGTTAGCCTTTCCACAGCCCTGGCAGAAGCTTTCAGCAGACCCTCTCACAGAGGCCAGGCAGAGTCCCAGGGATTTGCACCTTGGCCCACACTCCATCCTGAGCAATCACCACATGGTTCAGATCCCTGCTCTGGGCACTGAGGTGAAGGGCATCCCAGAGGGAGGAAAAGCAGAGTCCAAGAGCCTCGGTCTGCAAAAAACAGCCTGGCTGGACCCGGCACTCACAACACACAGCTCCAGACATCCACGCGGGAGGGGTGGGGAGAAAGGAAGTACGGCGCTGGGAGGGGGGTACTGGACTGTGGAACCCCGCTTAAACTGCAGGGAGGGACCAAGCTGGGCAGTGGGAGATCTGTAGGGGTGGTGGTGCTGATGTGGGAGTGGAGAAGGGGGAGTTTGAGAAGGGAGTATTGAAGAGGGCAGTGGTGGGTGTGAGAGGATAGCAGAGTATAGGGCTTTTCTGCAAAATAACCAACAACAGAGGGGCACAAACATATTTAAAAAGCCACCCCAGGGGGGCTGGCCCCGTGGCCGAGTGGTTAATTTCACGCGCTCTGCTGCAGGCAGCCCAGTGTTTCGTCGGTTCGAATCCTGGGCGCGGACATGGCACTGCTCATCAGACCACGCTGAGGCAGCGTCCCACATGCCACAACTAGAAGGACCCACAACGAAGAATATACAACTATGTACTGGGGGGCTTTGGGGAGAAAAAGGAAAAAAATAAAATCTTACAAAAAAAAAAAAAAGCCACCCCAGGGTCCTGTGGGGAGCACTACCTTCTTCCCCATCCCCACTGCCCACAGGCCTTTCCATCTTAGTGAGGGGGCACAAGGTGGAGCCCAGGAGAAAAGCCCTAGCTAGAACCACGTGCAGGGCAAAATAAATAGGGACAAGGCTTTGGGGACAGGACAGAGCTCTCCATCCCGGAGTCAGAGCTTGGGACAGGAGGTCACAGAGCCTCTGCAGAGTGGAGGAGGGCTGCCCCAATCTGCATCGGTGTCTCCGGGCCACTGGAAGACACTGCTCCCCAAATGCGTGTCCTAGGGCCCCAGGGTAGCCCTGAGGGGCGGTGCTGAGAGTGAAGTTCTTTTTATTTCGTATTTACCTAAAAATTCAGGAAGCCCTTGCCGACATTCTGGCTTGGGGACCCAGAATTTAAATTTAGTCACTGCCCAGAGTCCTTGTTTTAGGAAAGAATGAGATGGCCATTGTTGCATAACCCGGAGCTGGGCGGGTGTGTGTTGCCAGTGGAAACGGTCCTTCTCCCTCTAGGAAGGAAGGCTCAGCTAGGAGCACGGGGGCTGGGCGGGGACCGCCTGGAGCAGGGTGGTGGGGTAGACAGACCAGTGGAGTGAAGGCCAGTGAGCAGGCAGATAGAAACGCCCAGACCAGTCATGTCCAACGTCCCCTGGGCATAGCACAGCCTGAGGAATCCCAACCGATGATATTGGGAGGTGGCAGACAGGTTCTCGGAAAGGAAAGGGATGGAGGGGTGCACTGACCTGGATGAAGGTCTGGCTCTCTGGCCACTGTCCCCAAGAGCACCCAAAGTATGGGTTCTTCTAACTCTTGCCCACCCCCCCCCACGCCACCAATTTCGACTGGCCAGTTCCCCCTGTCCCTCCCTCCCAGGTGTTCAGCCAGTTCTCACCCTTGCACACTTGGCCCTCTGCAATCCTTCCGGACTCACATGGCCCCACCACAATGCTAGGGCTTCCGACAGTTCCTTCAAGGTGTGCCTCCCCGCCTTTCCCCGCCTCACCCCTTGCCCCACCCCCAACCTCTCTATCTTCCTAGCCCAGTCGCCCTACCCGTTTCCCCCGCAGGCTCATCTCCAGAGTACCCCTTGCCTCTCCTGGTTTCCCTTCCTCTCCTTTCCCTCGGCTTATTGTCTCCCGTCAGCAGCCGGTTCTCCCAAGACCCCATCAGCCATCATCCGGCCCTTTCTCTCTTTCCATTCGCCCACCTCCCTCTCATAACCCCCCACGCCATCCCTTCTCTGGCCACTTGTAGATCGCCATCTTCTCACTGCCCACTCGCGTCCCCGCGTCCCCTTCACCCCTCCACACATATACACGAACTGGATTCCAGCTTTTCCCCTTCGTCCCAATCCCGTCCTCTCCTTCTCCCCTCCCCACCCTCCAGGCCCTCCAGCCAGCTGTCCAGCTCCCAAATTCCGGGCGAGATTCCCGGGAACAAAGCAAGAAAAGTCAGAGTAATTCGGGAAGTAAACAGAAACTGAGACGGGAGGGGGGGAGAAAAGAGTGGGGAGGACCCAACTTGGGAGGGGGGGCCCTCTCCAGTCCCACCCAGTTTGGGGAATGCCCCAGCCTTCTCCCTCCTCCCCCTTCACCTGGCTCTTAAAGGGCCCGGCCCCTGACCGGCGGCTACTTAAGGCAGAGGGGCGGCGGCGGGCGGCAGCTGCGCTACGACTGCTCTAGGAGGAGCGGACCGGGCAAAAATCCTGACCATGACACCCCACAGGCTGCTGCCGTCGCTGCTGCTGCTAACTCTGCTGCTCGCTGCCCGCGCAGGAGGCGCCTTGGCCCGCTGCCCAGGCTGCGGGCAGGGGGTGCAGGCGGGTTGTCCAGGGGCCTGCGTGGAGGAGGAGGATGGGGGGCCGCCGGCGGAGGGCTGTGCGGAGGCTGGGGGCTGTTTCAGGAAGGAGGGGCAGCAGTGCGGGGTCTACACTCCTAACTGCGCCCCGGGACTGCAGTGCCAGCCGCCCGAGGAAGACGAGGCGCCTCTGCGGGCGCTGCTGCTGGGCCGGGGCCGCTGCCGCCGGGCGCGCGCGCCCTCGGGTGAGTCCGCGCCCCGCCCCCGCCCCGCCCACGTGAGACCCGCGTCTCCGCAGGCTGGGTGCTGCGGAGAAGGACGCCGGCCGCCTACACGCCTCTGGGTCCCGCCATGGACGCTTCCTTCTCCCCAACCCCGGGGGGCACATTTGAGGGGTGAAGGGGCAAGTACGGGGAGCAGCTAGAAGGCAGGGTGTGGCTAGGGGCCCCGGGGATGAAGCCTCAACCTTTTTTGCCTCTTCTATTTATTTTCTCTTGAGGGGAAAGGGGGGGTGTGCGATGGAGGAATTTAGGGCCACACCATATGCCACAACGGCCCAGCTCCTTCAGCCCTAGACCCCCAAGCTGGAGAAAGGTCCCAGATGCTGTTCCCAGCTTCCACTGGGAGAAAGAGGGAAGGGAACCCCAGATTCCCAAATCCTGCACACACTGAGAAATAGCTCCTCCTTTCCTCTTACTATCAGCATGTCCAAAGCACCTGAACATGGGATCTAGAACAGAAGATGCCCCAAACCCAGAGTTGTTTCAGACTAGGCTAGGATCAGAAGGCAGGCGCTGGGGGCCCCAGGGGAGGGGGGCATAGAGGTGGGAAAAGAAGGAATCTGCCAAATCAGGGTTATGATTTAAATCGGCTCAGAACCCTCTACCCACCCCACCCTACCCCAGGGAAGAGAATAGAAGGCTGAGTCACTGGGTGGGTGGGACAAAAGTGAGTCAGAATCCAATCCAAAAGATGGGGGCCAGCAGAGAGATGAGGAGGGCAGGAACTGCAAACAGCCCCCCGCCCAAGGGCATCTGAGCTCCTGGTCTCTTCCATGGGAAGGGATGGGGAAGTAAGTGGAGTTTCTTTCAGTCCCAAATGCCTGGATCCAGGCTGCTAGGGGTCCTCCTAGGAGGGGTGGTCTGGGTGCGTCGGGAGGCAGTGGGAGCACGGTCATGGCAGGGTGCTGCTTGGAGGGAATGAGGAGCAAGGTCTGAGGAGGGTGGAGGAAGAGAGCTCAAACTCAGGATTGCAGAGGAAATGGCTCTTAGGTTGCAAGTAATGGGCAGATGTCACTAGAGCAACTGTCTAGGTTTGAGGACTGGGGGCCTGAGCAGAGCTTGTCTTTGGGCATGGAGAGGGAGAGACAATCCTTTCAGGGGTCACAGCATCTCATTTTACAGCTGGGGCAAATTCCTAGCAGTGCATGCACCCTTCCCTGCCTTGTCATCGCCCTCACGCCCTGACTCATTTCCTCACCCCCTCCCATCCTGAGCTCTCCCCAGGCCCCCAGACACCAAGTGTGAAACTTTCTCCAGAGCCAGGAGCAGCCTGAGGTTGGAAGCCGGTCAGTCCCTGCACCTTTGCAACCTGCCCTCCACCCATCCTGGTTAAGGGCTGCATCGCACATGCTCCTGGGACCACTGGGGTTGAGCTGGGTTGAGGGAGAGGCCCCCACTGCAGTGCCCCAAAAGTAACCACGTCTCAGGCCTGGAGGAGTGGGCTGAGTCACAGCAGGGTCACAGCGGGGACACACATTCCACTTGGGTCCCTGCTGACCCCCTCCCACATCCTTTGCTCCTGTGCTGCGTCTCCCTGGCTTGGTGCACCCCCTGCTGGCCTCTGGTGGAATAGCCAAGGCTTTTCACCTCAAGCGGAACGCCTCCCACTGTATTTGTATTCTCCATTTTTGCTTTCCAAAGTGCTTCTCCCTTATAAGCCTTGATGTAAGGGAAGTCTCACCATTTATCACAGAAGGAAACTGAGGCCAGGAGAAAGTAACAGTGGAGCCAGGTTCTAACCCCCTGATATCTACTACTCCCATAGCCCCTCTCTTCCTCCCACCTCAGGGGGTAGAGGTGAGCAAGGCTCTTTTCCACTTGGCTCTGGTCTTTGACATCTGGCTGATTTCTGGCCTCTTCCTCCCCCATTCCTCTTGTGGCTGCAGGGGAGAATCCTAAGGAGGGTAAACCCCAAGCAGGGACCACTCGCACACAGGATGTGAACCGCAGAGACCAACAGAGAAATCCGGGGACCTCTACCACTCCTGGCCGGCCCAATCCTGGGGGTGTCCAAGACACGGAGATGGTACGTTTGGGGCTGGCAGGGAGCGGGGTGGGGGGAGCCCTGAGACTCCCATCTGGACTGCTCCCCTGGGCTTGGAGAAGTCTCCCACGTCAATCCTGGGAGCTTGGCTGGTGGGGCCAGCTGGCTGTGCGAGGAGCTCGGCTGGGGCAGTTCTGAGCTGCCCGCTCTTGCTTCCCCAGGGCCCGTGCCGCAGACATCTGGACTCAGTGCTGCAGCAGCTCCAGACGGAGGTCTACCGAGGGTCTCACACCCTCTACGTGCCGAACTGTGACCATCGGGGCTTCTACCGGAAGCGGCAGGTGCGGCCACTCTTCTCCTCCCCTTGGTCCATCAGTCCCAGGATGGTCTCATGGGTGGGGGGCTCACAAAGTTGCATAAATCAGACACTGCCCTGCCTTTAAGGATCTCCCAACCTTAGGGTCCACAGAAACATAGAGAAGAACAACCACACACGGTAGTAGGGGAGTTAGCCTGCCTAAAGAATGACTAACCCAGGGGTTCACAAATGTGAGGCGCGTGGGAATCACCGAGAAGGCTGAGCCCCACACACAGCCTGAGAATTTGCATTTTGTTACTATGTGTGTTTGTGAGGAAGATTGGCCCTCAGCTAACATCTGTTGCCAATCTTCCTCTTTTTTTGCTTGAGGGAGATTGTCGTTGAGCTAACATCTGTGCCAGTCTTCCTCTAGTTTATGTGGGATGCTGCCACAGCGTGGCCTGACAAAAGGTGCTAGGTCTGCACCTGGGATCCAGGCCTGCACACCCCCAGGCCACCAGAGCTGGAGAACTTAACCACTAAGCCACTGGGCTGGCCCCCTGAGAATTTGCATTTCTAACGGGCTCGCTAGTATTGTGGATGCTGTTGGTTTGGGAACCACACTTTAAGAACCGCCGTTCTGGCCTAGAGGAATGGGCACAATTCAGGGGGTAGAGATGGGGAGAAGTGAGGGAAGGGAACCCTGCGGGCTCTCTCAGATGTTTCTGCATACTCAGACTCAGGAGTCAACCCATCCCAGCCAGCCGGTCTGTCCCCAACCCCAGGCCCCTTCTGTCTCTCTGGCCAGAGCCTCAGTGGCGCCCCCTGACCGTATGCCTCTCTCCCCAGTGTCGCTCCTCCCAGGGGCAGCGCCGAGGACCCTGCTGGTGTGTGGATCGGATGGGCCAGCCCCTGCCCGGGTCCCCGGATGGCGATGGAGGCTCCCCCTGCCCTGCTGGGAGCAGTGGCTAAGGCTGGGTGGGGGGCTGCAGGGCCACCGGCAGAAGCCTGGGGCTGTCCTCTTGGGTCATTTGCTGAGTGATGAGTAACTCAGGGGCCCTGAGCCCCACATTCCACCTTCAGGCCCTGACCCATTGTCCCCCTCACCCCAGGACCTCGCACATGGAAAGATTGTTGGTGTTGGCTTGAGTCGTTAATAAAGTTGTGCTGGGGGGACTCTGGCCTACGTCTTTGTGTCCACGTGTCATACTTCTGCGACCCTTGGCCCTCCTCTCTACCCCCTTTCCCACCCCGCTCTCCTTTCCTGTCAACGACCCTCCGTCCTTCCCACTGCACTTGGGACGAAGGAGACAGCCAATGCGCAGAGGTTTCAAGCCTCACCCAGCTGCCTACCAGGGAGTGGGGGGCGGGAGATGCGGGGGAGACACTGAGGCCATGGCCTTGGTCTGAGGTCTAACACTGACCTTTGGACACAGGGGCGAGGAAGGATTAATAGTTAATCCCCAGCAGGAACCCAACAAAGAGGAACTCTCAAAGCTCTTCTGTTACATCCTATTAAAAAGGGAAGAAAATTATGTACCGAGCTCCTCCCCCGAGCTGGACCGGGATCATGTTCCCTTACCTGGACTACCTCCTTTTGTTTTTACAATAACCTCATGAGGTAGGGACTTTTGCCCCTGTGTTCCAGAGGAGGAAACTGTGGTTTAAAATATTTGGGTCACTTGCCTGAAATTACACGGCGGATAAATGGTATCGGGAGGACTTAAACCTGGTTCTTCCGTATGTAACATTATATGACAATGCCCCGAATTCCTTAGATGCTGAATAAGTATTTGTTTTGCCTCTTTTCTGTCTACCTGCTAACCTAAGTGGCGGTAGGGATGAGCTGAGGTTCAGGGGTCCTGGCACCTAGCACTTCCTGGAGGGGCCACAGCTGTCACAGGTGCAACCCCATCAGAATATTAGTCACATGCTTGTAATACTTTCAAGTTGAGGAGGTTCCCTCACACCCCTTATCTCATGATCTAAGGCAGCTAAGCGCACTGACACCTGGAGATGTTTCTGACTCCTCCCCACCTTCAGCGTGCTGGGAAACAGACTGAAGGCAGGTCATGCTAGGTGATGAGGTGCACCTGCCCATGATGTGCACCGATGTATTGCCACCATGCCTGCAGGAAGGAGAGCACGCTGGGGGCTGGGCATCTGGGTGGTGGCTGAGCTGCTGGGGGGTTGCACCCAGCTCGGCACAGCCAGCAGAGCTGAGCCTGTAGCTGAGAAGCAGCGCTGCCCCCCACATCAGATAACCTATAACCCCTCCTCCTGAATGGACTTTAGTCTTAGCAGATGAACTGAGTGAGATAAGAGCTCCGGCAGGCCAGGCTGTGAAGGAAGGGAAGGAACACTCAACTCGGCCTGCTACCCAGTCAAGACTCCCATCATGAAGCCAAGGGCGGCCCGACCACGGAAGAGAGAAGGGCAGAGGGGAGAGCAGGAGGACCCACCCGCCGGAGAAGGTGAGCCCCCTCGGGGAGTGCAGAGAGCTCAGGTGGGGTTGGGGGTGAGGACGCACTGTCGAGAGGGGGTTCCTGCTGGCTACCTTCAACCCTTCCTGCTGTCCCAGAGGCCAGGGAAGGCAGATGCTAGCCTCTGCCCCTAACTGCCCGGCTGGGAGAGGCAGGAGGAAAGGGATATTCAGAGCTGTGACCCTGTCTTATCGTTCTGACTCTAACCCCAGAGGATGAACAGAGTAGCTTCCTGTTCCTTAGGTACCATTTCCAGTAATGTCATCAGGCTCCCTGCTTGCGAATGGCCTCCTCACCCCCTGCAAAGATAACTTCCCCTCTGACTGTCCCACCCATGATACTAGATGTGGACCGGTGAGGGCAGAGAGGCTGCTGAGTATACAGAAAGCGCTTCCTGGACAGAGGATGCCCCTGGGTTTACAAAGGGCAGCAGAACCCTGACTCCTTCCCCTTGAGTGTGCCCTTTGACCCCCTCCTCCTAGGAAACACTGAAACGCACAGAGGCTCGGACTTGGTGCAATGGACCCGACATATGGAGGTAAGGGATGTCAGAGGTCAGAGGTCAAGATGGACAGGTCCTGGAGTGGAGAGAGGTAGCAGTGAGGACCGGTTTGGTGATAAAGACAATCTGTTCGTAGTTCAAACCCTTCGGATCACGTTAGAGGTAATGGTTAAGATAAAGGGGTTTGAAACACAGGTCATCAGGGAAGGGGCCAAAACTCAGCCAGTGAATAGTCTTCTGTTAGTGGGGCTAGAGGTCAGGAGAGGGAAGGCTGGGGTCAGGGAGAAGACAGTAGGATCTGAGATGACAAGGTGGTTGAGATTCAGACGCAGGGACTGGAAGTGTCACTCCTGCTGTCATTCGTTGACCCTCACTGCTGCCCTCGGAAGCCAGAGCAAGATACCTTGGGGGACCTCTGAGCAGGAACCGTGCTTGTTCATCTTTCTCTCCAGAGCACTTAGCAGTGTGCCTGGCACGGAGAGAAGCTCAGTAAGTTTGGTGAGTGGGAGATGGCTGACTGGACGGAGGGACAGTGGGACCTGCCCTGCTCTGTCCCGTAGGCTGTGAAGACACAGTTGCTGGAGCAAGCGCAGGGCCAGCTGCTGGAGCTGCTGGATCGGGCCATGTGGGAGGCCATACAATCCTACCCTCCCCAAGGCAGACCTCTGTCCTCCATTCCTCCAGATTCCTTGAGCAAGTGAGTCTGAGGAGCCAGGCGGCTGGGGAATGGCTGGAGTGGGCTCCTCCAACACAAGGATCGTGAGCCATAAACATGACCTCATGCACTCTTTGCCAGCATTGGCATGACCTCAACTTCAGCCTTTCCTCTTCTCCCCTCATGGCCTCTGCCTTCCTGACACTGCTCTCCACTGCTGGGTCTTGCTCTGCCCTGGCCCTGACCTTCCACCTGGTCCTGTCCTCTGGCCCTAACCATGACCTGCCCTCTGCCCATTGCCTCCTTCCTTTGGGTCCTGATCCAGACAACTGTCTCAATTCAGGACCCGGGAGCCAGCCTTGGAGAAAAGGAAAGTTTTCGTCATCCGCAAGTCCCTGCTTGAGTAAGTCAGGGGAGAAGACGGGGGATGGGAGGGAAAGAAAGGGCGTAGGCTGGGGGTCCAGGACACTTCATTTCTCATCCCCAGGCTCTAGGTAGCTTGGGGGAGAACTTGGAGAGGGTTTCCAAGTTCAATTTCCCCACGTGCCCTGAAAGTGAAAGAAAAGCCACCAAGATAAGAAGTCTCTGCTCTGGAAAGAGTTGTGGACTTCTGTGCCCTTAGCTGGAAGTTATCAATCACTGGGCCCCATCTGCACATGTGTACAGTGCCTGAGCTTGTCCACACGACCTTGAGGACCCTCCACACTGACATTCGGGCTCCCTGTCCCTCCAGCGAGCTTATGGAGGTGCAGCATTTCCGTACCATCTACCACGTGTTCATCGCCGGCCTGTGTGTCTTCATCATCAACACCCTGGCCATTGACTTCATCGATGAGGGCAGGTAGGCCCCCCCTCCCGCCAGGGATGGGCACACAGGTCAGATCAGAACCCCGGTCCCCAGTATTCCGCCTGCCACTGGCCTGAGAGAGCAGAGGTGCCCCCTCTGATTATTGGACATGCATCAGCGTTGCTTCCAGCAACCTCCCCACCTAAACGCTCTCTTAGACTTCTTCCTTCCACAGCCTTGGATGGCCCTTGGTCCGTCCTCCTGGGATCAGCCGCTCTGGGGACACTACACCTCTCCTCAAAGACTGCTCAACTGGAACCTTGTCCTGAGGCAGATAGACGTGTGTGCACACACACATGCACATTTTACACCTCACTGCTCTCACACACTCCTTTCCGAGTCAGTGCTGTTCAATTCAAGTAACCTCCACTGAGCACCTCCTAAGTACCAGCCCTGGAGAGTGAGAGATGAAGGGCAGACCCCATCTCTGTCTGGGAGGCCCTCTCAGTCTTGTGGGGAAGACAAACACACACGCAAGTGCCTTGGTGGGTTGTTTCCCCCACAGAGCATCCCCACTGGGGGGACAAGCCTCAGAGGGCTGTACACCCTGGGGGTCTGTATTTGCACGCCACCCCCTCACCCTAAGTAGGGCTTAGGAAGCAGTAAAAGGAAGAGGACCAAGGCTCTGCAGCTTAGCAACAGCACTTCCTTTTGGTAAAATGGTTGTTAATTATAGGAGTATCACAAGGATCAAATCTCAGTAAAAAGTTCAAATACACGTAAAGTGACAGTCCTCCTTGGCCACCCTCCTCAATCCCAGATGCTCCCGAGAGGTATCATTTTTAACAGTTTTGAGAACTTTCCTCCAGAGCATTTTCCATGCACATGTACAGAAGAGCCAAGGAGCTGTCTTGGGGGGGGGGGAGGTTACACAAATAAGATACTCACTGTACCTATTGTTTTGTTTTCACTCCCTAACAACCCGTCTTGGAGATCTTTCCATGTCAGCCCATTGTTTCTACATTGAATTACATTGTTTCTAGTGACCGCAGAGTCTGGAGGTGCCAGGTTTGTTCATTTGGTCCTTTACTAATGGGCAGTTGTTTCCATTTCTTCACCGTTGCAAACCATACACTCTCAGCTAAGCAAACAGAACATGCAACAACCTGCTTTCTAGTAACTCCAGTCTACAGCTACTGACGCTCCGAAAGAAAACGATCGAAAATCGTTTCGAAATTCCATTCTAAATACCTGGTACCCTAACACCTGTGCCATAGCCAGCACTGAGCCCTTCTGCCACACCTGACATTCACAGAGGGCTCTGAAGTCCTTGGAAGCAAACCCGTCCCATGGTTGAGTCTCCTCGGGCCACACCTGTGCTGGCAGAGGTGCCACCTTGAACACCTCCAGAGACCCGAGCTCACCACCTTCACGGGATGCCTCAGTTTCACTTCCAAGAGCTCTGACTGCAGGGGAGGGACCAGGATGAGTACACATTTGTCGACTTTGTCCCCCTTCCCCACTCCAAGGCTGATGCTGGAGTCTGACCTACTGATCTTCAGCTTCGGACAGCTGCCCTTGGCGCTGATGACCTGGCTCCCCATGTTCCTGTCCACTCTGCTGGCGCCCTACCATGCCCTGCGGCTGTGGGCCAGGCCCCAGGTCGGAGGGGCCTGGACGCTCGGGGTGGGGCTGGGCTGCCTGCTGCTGGCTGCCCACACTGCGGTGCTCGGCATCCTCCCGGTCCATGTGGCCGTGGACTATCAGCTCCCGCCGGCCTCCCGCTGCGTCCTGGTCTTTGAGCAGGTGATGGGGGTGCCCCTGTGAGGGAGGGCGTTCGATATAGGATTGGCGGGGGAGGAGCCGGTCACTGGGGCCAGAGTCCGTTGTGAGGGCTTTGAGCTAACCAGCAGGCTCCAAGGAAATGTAAACGAAACGAGCGCTGCTTTGCAAATAGAATCGGACTCCACAGAGTCACAAGGGGTTTGTTGGGTGGGGGCTCCAGCCTGGCCTTTCCTGTAGCGCTTTACCCTCGATTCATCACAGCTGCCATCGTGTTAGGCTGCAAGGCAATCCGACAAAAAGATAAAATATAGGCTCTGCCCATACAGGTTTTACAATCTGCCAACTTCTCTCCCGTAAACGAAAGCACAGAGAGGTTAAGTGATTTGCGCAAAGCTACACAGCAACTTAACCTCCCTTCCACTCCATGTCAGGTCAGGTTCCTGATGAAAAGCTACTCCTTCCTGAGAGAGGCTGTGCCTGGGACCCTTTGTGCCAGAGGAGGTGAGGTCTTCGGCTTACCAAGCTGTGAACTCAGTTGCAGAATCCTCATAGAAGCTCTGAATTCCTAAGCCCATGTTCCCCACTGGGCACAGCTCTGGCCTCCAGCGGGGCTCTGGGGGCATTAGACATGAGGCTTTCCCTGGGCTCACCTCTGAGAGAGGCACTTCTGTTGCCCAGAAGTTCTGGCACTTTCCTATCTCCAGTTCTAGCCTGGAAAGACCCAGGGCATGAGAACCTTATGTTAGGAAGTCAAAACAGAAAGAGAGGGAGAATGGGCGGTGGAACTTGTGGGCCCAAAGGAAGCTTGGGCCCTAGCAGGTCCTGCACCAGGAGATGGGGTGCCTGGAATGGAAGCAAAGAGGGGCGTTAGAGAGCGGGTTCAGCTCCTGCCCGGTCTCACCCCCCCACCTCCAGCCCCAACATCCAGCCCCTCTCCCCCCGCAAGCGCACCTCTGCCCCCTCCAGCTCTCCACCCCCCGTCCCACCGCCCTTCCCCAGCCACCCGCTGCCTCTGCCTTCCCCCTTCTCTGATGGACCCCTCTCACTCCTCCCCAGGCGAGGGGATCCGGGCCCCCAGTTTCTCCAGCTACCTCTACTTCCTCTTCTGCCCCACGCTCATCTACAGGGAGACTTACCCCAGGTAAGACCCGGCACCCCTTCCCCAAATGCCCAGACCCATCATGGGGTGCACCTCCTCCTCTCCTCCCTGAGGTCCCCAGCCTCTCACCAGACACTGGCCACTTTCCCAGGAAGCATCCCATCATAAACATGGGAAATAAGTGGCAGGTGGATTACCCCTCCTCCTTGCCCAGCCCATGGTGACAGGAGGGTGACCAACTGTCAAGGTTTGCCCGGGGCTGTCCCGGTTTCAGCACTGAAAAGCTTAAGTTCTAGGACACGCCTCAGTCCGGAGCAAACTCCAGATGGTTGGTCACTTTAGTTGATACCCAAGCTGAAAATCTATTTGCCATCTCTGTTATGGAAGGGGCAGTGTTCTAGATCCCCACCTCCCCAGAAAATCCGCCCAGGCCTGGGCAATGGAGGGCGCTGTGGAGAGAGGGGCTGGAAGCTGTGCCAGGCCTGCGCAGGGGACGAGAAACATGTAACCCCATTGCCACTGCAGGACCCCCAACGTCAGGTGGAATTATGTGGCCAAGAACTTCGCGCAGGTCAGAAGATGGGGTGGAAGGGTGGATCACCTGTGAGTCACGGTGGCTGCAGGGCATTAATGGGAGTGAGGTGGGGAACGCCCGGGGAGGAGGTCAGAGGGTGGTGCTAAGAGAAGACGCAGATGCTGGGCCAGAGTCCCATTCCAGAGGGAAGGGACAGCTGCCAAAGTTATGGCCAAGTTCCGTGTCCGCCGCCCCATGTTCTCTGTCTCCCACTCCCTCCCCAGGCCCTGGGCTGCGTCCTCTCTGCCTGCTTCATCCTGGGCCGCCTCTGTGTTCCTGTCTTTGCCAACATGAGCCAGGAACCCTTCAGCACCCGTGCCCTGGTGCTCTCTATCATGCATGCCATGTTGCCAGGTACGCCCACTAAAGGCAGGACTCAAGAAGGCTGCACCCTTGGTAGGCTTAGTGGGGACCCCCTCCTCTGTCGCCTCTCTTTACCTTCAGTCAGTTTCAACACGTTCTCCCTCTGAATCTCCCCTCACATCTGTGCCCTCCTATCACTGCTCGCTGTCAGGGACTCAGTTCAGGTTGCTATCTTCTCCCCTCTCCACATCAGCCTCCTGTCTCCCTACCACCCAAATGCTTGCTCTCCCCTCCGCCCCTGATCTTGCTGCCCAGATGAGCTGCCCTCCTACAGATTAATCATTCCCTACCCTCTTTCAAAAACTCTGGTGGCGCCCCATCGCTGGCATCTCCAGATAAGAGTCGAACCCTTGGCCTGGCATTCAAGGACCCGTCCCACAAAGCCCTAGCCTATTAACGGGAGTTCTCATCCTAGTGCAGCTCAGCTGTTCCTTGAAAGGCGTGCATTTCCATGCCTCCGGGCCTTTGCTCATACTGGTCCCTCAGCTTGGACCGCCGTTTCCCCATTTCCCAGCTGTGAAATCCAGTTTCTTCTTGGAGGCCCGTGGCTGAAATGCTCCCTCCTCTAGGAAGCCTTCCTTTTTATCCATCCATCACGATGACCCACCCCTTGCTCTGCACTCCCAAGCATATCAATGGCCACCATGCTTAGCTCCCAATACATTTGCGCTTGATGTGTGGTTGAACATGTCTCTCTGTCTCCATCTCTGCCTTTCTCTCTCTCCTCTCTCTCTCTCCAACCTCTCTGTGAACTCCCAATGGCCAGGGGCTTTGAGATTCATCTCTGTATCCCCAACATCTGGCATGGATTTTGTGAGCAAATGGATGAATTAATGAATTAGTAAATGACTAATAAATAATTGGTAAGAGGTGGGGCCCTGGGTGCTAGGCGAGGGCTCCTCAGAGTTTCCTGGGGGTTCCTGGTGGGCCAGTCTGACCTGCAGCCCCTTGTCCCTATTTGCCAGGCGTCTTCATGCTGCTGCTCATTTTCTTTGCCTTCCTCCACTGCTGGCTCAACGCCTTCGCGGAGATGCTACGGTTTGGAGACAGGATGTTCTACCGGGTGGGGCCTGGACCTGGGCCGTTTGGGAGTTGGATGCAGGAGGGCCGGAGAGGAACTGGGGGAGGATGGTGACTGTGTTGGGTGTCGCTTCAGCTGTGCTATCATTCTCCCGCAAGGAGAAATGTGCTCCTCTGGGTGTAGTTATGCCAACCCTCCACCTCCTGATCACCGGGCTAGCTGCCTTTGTGTGGATGGTACTCAGGAATCTTCTCCTGAGCGGGGGAGTAGGAAGGAGGGACCCCAGCTCCCCAGAGGGAGCGGGGGGCAGTGCTCGCCAGCCTTTGTGGGAGAGCATGGGACAGGGTGCAGGGAACAGGGGGGAGGGCTGGGGCCTGGGAAGAGCCAGTACCTTGATGCTTCCCTCCTTCCCCCAACCCTGACCCCATCCCTGTCCCAGGACTGGTGGAACTCTACGTCCTTCTCCAACTACTACCGCACGTGGAACGTGGTGGTCCACGACTGGCTGTACAGCTACATATATCAGGATGGGCTGCGGGTACGGGCTCTGCGGACCCCCTCAGCTCCCATTAAGGAGCCTCTCTGGGACAGCCTCTCCTTCCCTCCCTCTGCACCCTTTCCAGACTGAGGGGCCCCCTTGACTTCCGTCTGCCTCCATTCTACCCTACCCAATGGGTGGAAAAGCCTTCTTATGATCTAACTTCCTCCCTTACCCTTAACTCCACTCCCTCCATGGGGCATTTCTCCCCTTCTTAGCCTTCTAAGGAACATGCATATAGCAATTTCAGTTCTCAAGAGTTTTCACATGCATTTAATCTGCACAGTAACCCTGAGAAATAAGTATTATTATGCCCCTTTTCAAAATTCCATCTAAGGCCTAATGGGCTAATAAAATGCCCTTAAATAAGATTGATGTCAGCCCTTCTGACCCCAAATCCCATATTCCTTCCATTCCCCCACACACCCTCCTGGCTTCCTTTGCGAGGGAGCTCTTTGCGGAGGAGTCTCTGAGAGACTCACTCCACCTGCCTCCCTCTGGCCCTGCCAGCTGCTCGGAGGCCGGGCCCGAAGGATGGCCATGCTGGGCGTGTTCCTGGTCTCTGCAGTGGTCCATGAGTACATCTTCTGCTTTGTCTTGGGGTTCTTCTACCCCGTCATCCTGATGCTCTTCCTTGTCTTTGGAGGTGAGCTTGGCCTCTGTGCCACTGGAGGGGGAGCCATCCAGAGGGAGGAGGCCTGGGCTCCTGCTCCTGGAGATTCCAGACTGATGGGGGAGGCCACACACCCAAGACAGAAGGGGATGTGCATGCCTTCTGGGGAGAGGCATGAGGGTTGTGAGAGTTGGGGTGGGACAGACTTGGGAACAGGGAGCGGAGCAGCATCGGGAAGCAGTAAGGGGTATCCTGGGGGATGTGGGAGAAGATGTCTGATTGGAGAGGAGCATCTGAGCAGGGCACCCTTAGAAGGAGACAGAAGGGTGAAGACTGGTGTGGGGTTCGGTGGTTCAGTATGAGATCCAGGGTATTAAACTGTAAACTGAGGAATCCTGGTTTTACAGGAGCCACTTGAGACCTCCCTGGGTTTCTAGGCACCCCAATGGTGCCTTCCTGTTCCGTCTCTTCCCAGTGCCCTGGGATGGTAGGGCAGCCAAGGAGAGAAGGCACAGGTGTCTGGAGCTGGGGTGACAAGCTTTCCTCTTGCACCAGGGCTGCTGAACTTCACGATGCATGACCGGCACACGGGCCCGGCATGGAACGTGCTAATGTGGACCATCCTCTTTCTGGGCCTGGGCATCCAGGTTAGCCTGTACTGCCAGGAGTGGTATGCACAGCGGCACTGCCCCCCGGCCCAGGTAAGGGACCATGACCCTCACTCCGCTCCCCACCCAAGAGGACATGCTTGCCCTTCCCAAAGCTAGCCCCCTATTGTTGCCCAATTCAACAGCCTTGGTCAGGGGCCAGGACCTGGTTTGAGGGTGATGGGTACCCATGTCCTGGATGCTCAGGGTTGGTACTGGGAGGGAATTATTTCACAACTCACCCTTCTTTGGCACAGACAACCTTCTGGGGGCTGATGATACCTCGATCTTGGTCCTGCCATACCTAGAGGTCAGGGCACCCTCACTGCCCCGATGATACCACCAAGTTCTTCTCTGCCTGCAAAGCCTGGGACCAGGGCTCCTCTCTCTGCGCTCCCAGACCTCACTCTGAGTCAAGGAGGCCTGGCATGCATGACCCCACCAGCGAGCTCTAGAGACTGAGGTCTGTGGACCTGTGGGCAGCTGAGCACAGACCCAGAGCAGTGGTGGCTCTTGAGCCCCCATCCCCATGGAGTGGGCCCAGGGCCCTCTCCACCCCATGGCTGTCCGGACTTGGGGAGACTTGAAGGACCATACAGATTGGGTGAATGTGGGGTGATTTACAGAAAATGGGGCCACCAAGTTCTGAGAAGTGTTTGTTTCTTTCTTTATCCTCCTTCCAATATAATAATAAACTCTTTGTCTCTTTTTATTCATTCATTTGTTCATTCATTCATTCATCATTTGTCGAAGGCCCTCTTTTCACAGACATAACTGAAGAGTTGTGTCTGCAGAGGTAAGACTTTGTGGCAGGAGGGGCTTAGGGTCTTGGGTGACATCCTGCCTTGCCTTTTCTGTGCCACCCACCTCTCCCCAAAACCTGGCCTCACCCCCCTCCTTCCACTTCTACTCCTTCTTCAGCTCACATTTCCACACCCCTTGAATCCTTCTGCTCCTGGCAGCCTCTGGGACATTTGGACAGGGCACACAGCAGGCCTCCTCTCCTTCAGCAGACCTGGGGGGGGGGCCTCAGTCTCCACAGCTAGAAAATGGACGTTAAATTTAGGAGTGTCCTGATGTACGGGGACAGAAGGTCCAAGTATTCTTATTCAGAACCATTCCAGAAACCAGACTATGTGGTCACTCCAAGGGGAGGGTCATCTCTGTGCTCCCTACATGGGTCCCCCACCTAACGTGGTGCTGGGGAGACACCGGGATCAGGAAAGGGGGAACATTAGCCCCAGGCGGACTGAGGACCAAACAAACCAGGATCCCTACGGTGGGACCCTGAGATGGGGGATCTTTTTTTTTTTTTACATGTTAACAGTATGATTGGATATCTTTTCATGTCAATAATATAGATCTATTTCATCATTTTTAATTACTGCATGATATTACATTCCATGTCTATACTATAATTTACATAACTAATTACATACATTTCAATTGTTTCCAATATTTTGCTCTTATAAACAATTCTGTGATAAGCTTCTTTGTGTACATATACACATCTTTGTGCATTTTCCTGAGGGAATTTTCTAGAAGCAGAATTATTGGAACATTGGGTGGTATTACTCCAAATTTTGTGCACATTGCCAAACTTCCATCTAGAAAGTTCCTATGAATTTACAGTGTATGATATTGCCATTTCCCCGCCCCCTTGTCGATACAAGGTTTTGTCAACTTATTTATTTTTGCCAATCTGATAAGCAGAAAATTATGTCTATTTTCTTTATTTTGCATTATGATCACTACTTTAAAAATTGAATATATTTTCCTATGTGTACCAACCATTTTTATTTAATATGTTATCTACTTTTAATAGACTTTATTGTTTAGAGCAGTTTTAGATTCACCACAAAATTGAGTGAAAATCCAGAGATTTCCCATATACCCCCTACCCCCACACATGTACAAAACCTCCCCCATTCTCAACATCCCCACCCTAGTGGTGCACTTGTTACGACTCATGAACCTACATGGACACATCATTATTACCCAAGGTCCCTAATTTACCTTAGGGTTCCCCCTTGGTGTTGCATTTTCTATGGATTTGGGCAAATTTTTTTTCCAGGTTTATTGAGATCTTATTGACGTCTATGAAGTTTAAGGTGTGCCATGTGATGATTTGATACATGTATATATTGCAAAGTGATCACCACAATAAGGTCAGTTCCCAGCTCCATCCCTCACATAGTTACCGTTTGTGTGTGCGTGGTGATGACGTTGACAATCTGCTCTCTCAACAGCGTTCACGGATAGAACACAGTATTAAGTGTAACCGCCATGCTGTGCGTTGCATCCCCAGGACTTACTCATCTTACAGCTGGGAATTCGTCCCCTTTGACCAACATCTCCCCATTTCCCTTCCCTGCCAGCCTCTGGCAACCACCATTCTGCTCTATTTCTATGAGTTTGGCTTTTCTAGATTCTGCATCTAAGTGAGAACATCCAGTATTTGTCCTTCTCTGTCTGACGCATTTCACTTAGCATAATGCCCTTGAGGCGGTTTGGACTCATTTATGATGACACATCTCCACCTTTATAGAAGTTCTTTGCCTAAAAATAGGTCTCATATATATTGACATCTATTCAAGGTTCTATATTCTATCCACTGATCTATTTTTAGCCCAATGCCATAGTGTTTAATTACAGTAGCTTTAGAAGATGTTCCAATATCTGGTATGGTGAATCCCCCTTCACTAATTTTCTTTTTTTCATTGATATTCTTGGGCACATGTTCTTCATATAAAGTTTAAGATCCTTTGATACTTTTTTTAAAAAGAAATCACTGTTGGCCTCTTCCTTATGGCCTTGAGGGGATAAAGGAACACATGATGTCTGATGTTTGTATCATCAACAAGCTCAAAGAGCTTGGATAACTTAGACTTCAGTTAGGCTTATCATGTAACAAGGGTGTGTATCAGGTATTTGCACAATCATAGAAATGACTGCGATTTTTTTTTTTCCTGAAGAAGATTTGCCCTGAGCTAACATCTGTGCCAATCTTCCTCCATTTTGTATGTAGGTCGCCACCACATCATGGCCGCCAGTGAGAGGTGTATGTCCACACCCAGGAACTGAACTCTGGCGGCCAAAGCAAAGCGTGCCAAACTTAACTACTAGGCCACAGGGCTGGCCCTCAATCGTTCTTTTAAAAAATGAATTTGACCATGTATGTTTATATATAACCTAGTTATCGAATAATAAATTTTGACAGTTTTATTGACATATAAGTAATATATAAGCTGCATGTATTTAAAGTGTACACTTCAATAAGTTTTGAATAGGCATACACCTGCAAAACCATCACCACGATCAACATAATGAATATATCAGTCACCCTGAAAGTTTCCTCATGTTCATTTATAATCTCTCCCTTGTGTCCATCCCCGCCCCCATCGCACCATCCCCTGGGCAATCACTTATCTGCTTTCTGGTACATCAGATGAGTTTGCAGTTTCCAGAATTTTATATAAATGGAACAATATAGCATGTGCTCTTTTCTATCTGACTTCTTCCATTCAGCATAATTATTTTTAGATTCATTCATGTTAGTACATTCATTCCTTTTTTTTTTTTTTTTTTGAGGAAGATTAGCCCTGAGCTAACATCTGCCTCTAATCCTCCTCTTTTTGCTGAGGGAGACTGGCCCTGAGCTGGCATCCATGCCCATCTTCCTCTACTTTATATGTGGGATGCCTTCCACAGCATGGCTTGCCAAGCAGTGCCATGTCCACACCCAGGATCCGAACCGGCGAACCCCAGGACGCTGAAGCAGAAGGTGCAAAATTAACCACTGCGCCACCAGGCCAGCCCTTCTCTTCTCCATCTTAACTTCTCTGTTCTCTAATCAAATTTTTCTTGAGTAATTTCCTCCAGTGAAATATGGGATTGATACACTCTCAGAATCTCCTAGATCCCCAAATATCTTTCTGTTGCGCTGACAAGTGAATGCTTCCCCAGCTGTGTGTGAAATTCCTGGGCAGCCATCCTTTTCTCTCAGTATTCCCTCTTTTAGCTTCCAGTCCTGCACATGAAAAGTCCTGTGCCAATCGGATTCTTTTCCCTTTGTCGATAACTTGCTCTTTATGTTTAGAACTTGAAAATGTTTTTCTTTAATCTTGGCATTCAGGAGTTTCACACTTAAATGGATGTCCTTTCTTTTTGTATCTTCCTCTGCCCCTTCAGTCTACAAGCTCAGATCTTTCTTCAGGTTGGCAAAATATTCTTCTATTTTTAAATTATTGCTTCTCCTCCATCTACGCCTTTTCTTTCCTTTGAAATATATTTGAGTGTTAGGACTACTGGATCTATTCTCCAAGTCTCATATTTTCCTCATTATTTCCATCTCTTCGTATTATTTGCTCTGTGCTTTGAAATATTTTTTCCGCTTGTTCTTCCAAGCCACTAATTTGTGTCTCGGCAGTGACCCGACTTCTTTCTTCCAATACAGATACTGACTCTTTTTTGTTGAAAATAATGTTTTTTAGTTCTAGAAAGTATTTTCTTGGTATACTACTCAAATCTCTTTAAGTGCTCCTAATATTTTCTTAAGCTGTCATATGCCTCTTCAGTGGTTCCTATGCTGTCTGTAGGCAGGAAAACCAGCTATAATGACCTCATCCCTGGAGGGCCAAGGCCCCCTGAGTCATACTCTTCCGGTATCCCCACGGTCCTGACCTCTGCCCTCTGCCCAGGGGCTCCCCAGAGCTGGTCTCCAGGCTCCTTCGTGGTGAGAAGGAGGAAGTTCCTCACCAGGTCTCCACATCGGCCCTTCCTTTTACTAACCCCGAGTTCAAGCCTTCACTTGCACACCCTGCCTCCTGGCCCCAGCAGCGATAGGCTAAGGAGAGGCAGGTGTTTGGAGTTGGGAGCGGGAATTCCCTTCGAAGAGTGGTCCTCAAACTTAAGTGTGCATTAGAATCACCCACAGGGCCCATTAATACAGATGGTTAAACCCCCCCCCCCCCCCCCCCCCCGCCCCAACCCCGGAGTTTCTGACTCATTAGGTCTGGGGTAGGGCCTGATAATTTGCATTGCTAATCAGTTCCTAAGGAATGTTGATGCTGCTGGTCTAGGAATCAAACTTTGAGAACCACTACATTAGGATACATCAAACCAAGCCCTCTTCCTTCTTCAAAATTATACCTTTTTTATGGTAAGGAGATTAGTCAATGTCAGGGAGGTATCGTCTCCTCCTTTTACATTGGGTTTTTCAACTTGTTCATAGTACTGAGGCTTGTACACAGCTGGGCTCCCCCCAGGACCACTTCTTCCACTAAAGCCTTCGTGGGTGCTTGGCTGCCCTGACTTCTGGTCTGAGACCGGGGTGCTGGCAGAGGGTCCAAGGTGCCCCGGGCAGGATGCTGAGGAGCTGAGGAGGAGTAGAGGTGAGTCAGACTGGAAAGCGCCTCCTTTGTCCAGGCTCAGGACCCCATTCACCCTGCAGCACCCTTGTTTTACCCTTGCACCCAGAGGTTGGCAGCACAGCTGCCCGGGCCCTGTCTCTAGGCTCCCCAAGTGGGCGGGGACGTGGGGTGGGAAGCACCTGGAGTGGGGCTGCACTTGTGAGGCAGGGAGGGCTCTGGGGCCACCGGCCCACCCAGCGCAGTTCTCCTCCTGGGCGAGGAGCCCTCTTGTCTTCCTGTCTAGGGTCTCCTGGCCACTGCCCCATGCAGCCCCCTAACTGTCCGCCCACTCTCTTGCTTCAAAC